GTACGGAAACTCGCAGTTTAAACTAACTATAAAATTGTTTGCAGATGCTTGATGTCATTGATGTCATTAAGGGGATCCTAAAGCCGTCTGTAATACCGGCTTTTTTTCTTAGCATTAATCTTTTAATTGACTTTATAGAAATGCAAAATTCTTGTCTAGAATTAAAGTACGCATCAAAATCTAGGTCATGGTGGTCAAATTTATATCGAAAACGAAAAAAAATTAATATTTTTGTTAATTTTTGGTGTACGTGACGACAATATTTGCTTTGTACAAAAATTCCACGATAAATATCCACAAAATTAGACCGGCATGACCTAGGGACAACATTTAAGAACAATATCGTGCAATTGGATCTAAGATTGAAAACCTAGAAAAAAAGATTACTTTATATAACTTTTATATGTGCAAAAGCACATTCAGGTTGACAGGATAAGCAATATTGCGTGTGGCAAGAGATGGTGCAGTAATCGAACAAAGACAGATGCCGCTCGTTAGACAAGGACAGATATAGATATATGACAAGAAAACAGAATTAGAAATGTTGACATTACCGACGTCGAGGAAGTTCAGCCTTCACTTTAGGATCCCCTTAAGAGGTAGAAAAGCAGTGGAATACTTCATGCACTTCCAAGTAAGTTAGAAAAGCATTAGCGAAGCTATTTAATCTTGTACAAATCATATTAAAGTACACATTAAAGAAATATAAATATATTTTATCATTGTGTAAGGGTTGGAATCTGTCTTGGAACAAACGCAAAAAGAGAAGCCATAAGATGTCAAAGCGCTTAATCGAAACGAAACAGAGCATCAAGAACCTCGTCGTAGAGCGAGGTGGCAGTCGAGCTGCATCATCTACGATCAGAATTTCCGAAGATGGCAGTTCGGGCCAACACGCTGATTATTATACGGAAGTAAGTTTCATTTTCAAGTTACAAATTTGATTTTGGACGTTTCAGAACTTTTATAATTTAATAACAGAAAGAGATAGTAGCAATAACTTGAAAAATATGTGTAACGCTGATTGACTATCGTGTTGTGAAGGCGTAATTTTCTTAACGTTACCGCGCTATGAAAGGTTTAATTTACCGCATGATTTAATTTATCCGTATGATATTGCAGATCGAGGACTGCGAAAGTAAGAAAAGTTTATAAGAATTACATTTGTAATTTATAGGAAGCATAGAAGAGGATACAGAGAGTAGTTCTGATTACATGGGTGAAACAAGTGACGATGAACACAGTGGGTGGTGGTAGCCAATCTGGAGCCAGTATGAAACCAGGCGATGATCTTGCTACAGATAGCACATTAAAACGGATTCTAGAGCAGGATTATGACCTAATGAGTAATAAGATCAAGGTAAGCTAGTATTTAAATTTTAGTTAATATACATATATATTATAGATATAAGCTCCTAAAAGCGTTTGTGCCGGATACATTTTTCAACAACTAAAAACTATTCCTGCTGTTTGCATTTTATTTACTTTTCATATTTAAATTAAAATTATACAAGGATTGTAATTTATGTTAAAAACTAATCTTTCACTGAAAACAAATATCATACAAATATATCACTGATATTTATTTCAGCTTATACTTCCGGCGCAACCTACTGTGATAAATATTCCAGAATCTCTGGC